TATTCAAAAATAGACTAAAAACGAATGTCGAGCTGAATGTTGTGCTGAATGTCTAGCCAGCTTCACATTCCAGCTCGACATTCAAAAATTGACAAAAAACAAATGTCGAGCTGAATGTTGTGCTGAATGTCTAGCCAGCTTCACATCTCAGCTCAACATACAAAAATAGAAAAAAACGAATGTCGAGCTGAATGTTGTGCTGAATGTCTAGCCAGCTTCACATCCCAGCTCAACATTCAAAAATAGAAAAAAAAACGAATGTCGAGCTGAATGTTGTGCTGAATGTCTAGCCAGCTTCACATCCCAGCTCGACATTCAAAAATAGACAAAAAACGAATGTCGAGCTGAATGTTGTGCTGAATGTCTAGCCAGCTTCACATCCCAGCTCAACATTCAAAAAGAAAAAAAAAACGAATGTCGAGCTGAATGTTGTGCTGAATGTCTAGCCAGCTTCACATCCCAGCTCAACATTCAAAAATAGAAAAAAATGAATGTCGAGCTGAATGTTGTGCTGAATGTCTAGCCAGCTTCACATCCCAGCTCGACATTCAAAAATAGACTAAAAACGAATGTCGAGCTGAATGTTGTGCTGAATGTCTAGCCAGCTTCACATCCCAGCTCAACATTCAAAAATAGAAAAAAAACGAATGTCGAGCTGAATGTTGTGCTGAATGTCTAGCCAGCTTCACATCCCAGCTCGACATTCAAAAATAGACTAAAAACGAATGTCGAGCTGAATGTTGTGCTGAATGTCTAGCCAGCTTCACATCCCAGCTCAACATTCAAAAATAGAAAAAAAATGAATGTCGAGCTGAATGTTGTGCTGAATGTCTAGCCAGCTTCACATTCCAGCTCGACATTCAAAAATTGACAAAAAACAAATGTCGAGCTGAATGTTGTGCTGAATGTCTAGCCAGCTTCACATCCCAGCTCAACATTCAAAAATAGAAAAAAACGAATGTCGAGCTGAATGTTGTGCTGAATGTCTAGCCAGCTTCACATCCCAGCTCGACATTCAAAAATAGACTAAAAACGAATGTCGAGCTGAATGTTGTGCTGAATGTCTAGCCAGCTTCACATCCCAGCTCAACATTCAAAAATAGAAAAAGAATGAATGTCGAGCTGAATGTTGTGCTGAATGTCTAGCCAGCTTCACATCCCAGCTCGACATTCAAAAAGAATATAAGAAACGAATGTCGAGCTGAATGTTCTGCTGAATGTCTAGCTAGCTTCACATCCCAGCTCATCAGTGATAAATCGAATGTCGAGCTGAATGTTCTGCTGAATGTCTTGCCAGTTTCCCATACCAGCTCAACAGTGATAAGTCGAATGTCGAGCTGAATGTTTAATGTCGATCTCTGTGCCAACTTCATGGACTTGTAAATTTAAGATTAATTCCGAAATACGAAATAAAAGTGCTGTAACTTTTTTAGTGTACTTCTTATTAATACTTTACTTGTTTTATTGTTTAATTCGGTGCTGGATCAATATCGACATACAGTAGTATTATAACTCCTTAATTTGTCTTTATACATTTATTTCATTTTCAAGGCAAATATATTCCACAATTTTCACATCTTACAGTTTTATTATGTTCAACTTCTAAATACAATATCGCCCTCACCGCTGTAAGTTCGAATCCCAACAGGGACTTTGGATAGTTATCCAAGTAGCTTACGGAACATCGGTGGTTCTACTCAGTTGCCCACTCGTGCCTGAAAGACGCCTAAAGTCTCCCTCTACCAATAAAACTGGAAAGTCTCCACATGTCTACTATTGTGTTGGTCCGACGTAAAACCAAACCAAATAAAAATACAATTACATTGTATCCTTTTTAATTTTTTCTTATACGTATTGATCTTGATTTAATACAGAGCTGTACAGACATCCACGGAAAATATCTTTAATATAGACCAGTTCGGAAAACAGACGGAAAATATCGTTAACGGAATACCTCGGTAGGTGATTTATAAATCAAATAAAGCATACATGTAAGCCAATTTTTGTTGAGTTCAAAATTCCGTTTCTTCATTCTATTTTGATGTAAACGAATTAACATAATAATTTGAATTTAATTTAACAAAAAATTTTATTTTAAATTTAAAAACAAAGGAGGTAATAACAAGTGAAAAAGAATATAAAAGAAGATATTTAAAATTAATATCTATAAATGAATAAATGAATGAATGAATTAATTAATTAATGAATGAATTGATTAATTTATTAAGCAGAATGAAATCCCTGTTTTAAAATTATTACATATTCTTTCTAATCAAAACCATTTTTACTCGTTTACTACATCACATCGAAAATTAATATAACAACATGTATGTTATTCAACATAAAATTGTATACATACAATTTATAGTCATACAGTTCAAATGTATCATTTTTAATCAATATATTTGTTTATTTTTCCGTTTCAGTGACACAGAGCCAATAGAGTTAATGCTGCACGTGTTGTCAAGTGTATTAAACTGTAGTCTCGTGCCTTTACTAAATGTTGTGCAGGACAGAGTGCACGATCATGGAGGTTATTCTGGTAATATATTGTTTATTGAAATAATGATAACTTACAGAAAAAATATGGAACTAGTTAAATGTAGAGTATAGCTACAAAAGGCGCAAGGTACATAGAAATATTCAATAATTAATTATCACTTATTAACAAATGAATAAAAAAAAACACGAAAAAAAAAATCAACAACAATCATACGGAAAACGTTTGATAGTTTGAAAACATCTATATACTTGAATTATTCTGAAAAATGTTGAATACCTAATGTTTGTTAATTGTAATTAGGGGCGTCTTTTGGTGGTTGACTTCAAACCACTTGTTCCTCACCCTTGTGGGTTTGCATACCAGAAGGAACATTTGAGGAACCTATCCAGCTAGGATATGTCGCTGGTTATACTAATGTGCCTGTTCGTGCCATTTTTTTACCACCAGAAATGTTGGAAAGTCGTCACATGACGTATTCTGTGTTTGTGCGATGTTAAACAAAGAAAAAAAGTTATGACATACGTATGTATGTATTTCAAATTGACATTTTCTATATGGTGATGGCATCTTTCTTATCACAGGCAATGTAACTTTGAAAAAAGTTCACCAAGTCCACCAATATGGATTTCTTTCACGTGTGATATCCCGCTAGCTGACGAAAGGCCGGTCGTTCTACGCAGGTGCAAGCTCGTGCTATAAATAATGCGCAAGGGGGTAAACTTGGAGGCCCACACGAACTCATAAAGCTGAAAATTGATTGTCATTTGACAATTACAGTGTCGAAGAAACTTAACCCAAATAAATCAAAAAAATAAAAGAATGAGAAAAATGAGAAAACATATGACTTATTATTAAATGTATCTTTCAAATACTTTATAATAGTTTCAAATTTTAATTATATTGACAGGTCCTAGCTGGAACAAATACAGAGCATGTGTGGCCGGATTTAATGCCAAAAGTGAATGTTTACGACAGCTTGAAGAAATATGCCGAAACAAAACCCACAGAGTTTTAAAAGTCCTTCGGCTTTCGTTTTCTTCCTTCCAACCTCTAATGGAAATTAATCCAAAGCTGAAAATAGTACATCTAGTCCGAGATCCTCGTGCAATTATTCATTCACGCTTGTATTCCCGCTTTTATCCCGTAGAGAGACCCAGAAAGAACGATTCCTTGGAAAAGAACCTTTGCGAGAAGATGCTTGAAGACATTAAGGACGTCATAAAACTTAAGATAAATTATCCAGACAGAGTTATAGTGTTATATTATGAAGATATCATAGAAAATATGCATATTAGACTAAAACAGATTTATAAAAAACTTAATTTGACGTATAACAAGGAAGGCGTTGAGACATTTAGTAGAATACATGTGAACCTATCACCGCCAGAAATGGGGAGCTCTTTTACTAAAGATAGAAAACACGATAATGCATTTTGGTGGCGAAAGTACATAACGTGGGAGGAAGTGCAAAGAATAGACTATTGGTGCGGGGAATTGTATAGCATTCTTGGATATAAAACTTTAAGACGAAATGAAATTCGTGATGATTCTGTGCCTAGCTATAAAGTCTCCCCGTCATTTAAGATTCAATAATGTGATGTTTTGTTCTTATTTTTTGTACTATTATATTTTTAATATGTTCTTTGTAAATTTGATCTCATAGATCTCATATTGATCTCAATGTGGTTAACTTTTACAATGGATGGTTTTGTATAAAATACTAAATTATATGTTATACAAAATATAATGGAAATTTTCTATAACATTATTTCCTGATCAATAATTTTGTCTGAAAAGCTATTTGTTTGGTACTATGATTACTGCCATGCACTCCTGTTGTTTTTTTTTATCTAAAGCTTTCTATATATTCAAATTTGCCATGGCAAATGTAGAAAAATATTGGCCATGGCCAACCTTATGATAGTTTGAATCTTTTTAAAGTGTGTAAAACCATAGGTTTGAATTTGCCAAAAACTGGCGTAGAAAATACCTCGTTTTGAAATTTTGACCGTTTTTTAAAATTGCGTTTGCTTCAGGCAACTTGGTTAAAACTTGGTTAGCGACTCCATAAGATACACAAATTTCGAGGCTGTCTGACAATAAACCTCTATCGTAGTTCTATTTGTGACAAAAATTGAATAATTTGAAATTTGTCAAAGGACATTAATAGCACGCTCTTTCCTTCCAGACATCTTTAAGACATGGTTGACAGCCATTTCCTGGAGTTTTTAACATGTAGTATACAAGGTAGAAATAAAGAATTTAGATTTTATGTCGGCATAGAACCGCCGTATTATAAAAGTATTTTCAGGAGTAGAAAATACGTCCATTTCTATTACATCATTTTCAGTAGACAGTGAAATTACATTTTTGATCAATTTCACAATGACATTATTGAAATATAATTTCACGACAGCTGTATAATTTTTGATTGCGAAAGTATACCATTTTTGTCAGGTATGCATTCCATTGTTACAGTAAAGAAATTGTACATAATCACCGGCAGCACATTATTTTTTTGCAGACATGTTAAAAAATAGAGAAATTTTACAGAAATTATTAATTTTCAAAATGAACATTATGACGTCACGATGTGACGATAAAAAAAGTTGACGACAGTTACACTGAGCGATGGATGCCGGTAAAATTGTGATCACAAAAATTCGTCTTGTGTACTTTTTGTTCAGGTGAGCTAATAAAGATAATAAAGACAAATAAAACATAGAGACAGTCTAACATATGCTAATGAATATTATTATTTCGGACTTTTATCGGCAGCTGTAATTTTCAGACGTTCTTTTATCATAATGGTAGCACTGGGTGAAACATAATTATATATTGGTAGTTTAACGAGATATTAATAATCACACCCTTATTCTACGATGGCAGCATAATCATAACTATTATACTTTTTTTACAAGTTTGTTGACCACCTTAAAAATATATATATAAAGATACTTGGCTGACATTTGTTTCCTGAAAAAGGTACTCTCTGAATGAATTGATTTTGATTAACAATATGCATCAACTATATAATCCACTACGTAACAATAGTAACTTTTAAGCTTTTCATCTGATAACAACACGTAATTTTAAATAATATTAAGAATCGTTCGGAATTACTGAAAACGCCAAAAGTATATAAAAATTCAGTCTTTAAATTTTGTCCTTTGTCAGCGGATGTCTAAACATGGATGAGATTATATTAAATGTTGCATTCTGCTTACGCCGGTGCTAGGGGGCGAGGCGATAGTTTGCAATTACCACTACCGTTGATGAAAAGGTTCAATTAAACCGAGCCTGCAACAGTTTAAATATTTTCTTTTTGGACTTTCTATTTCTATTCTGTTTTTTCTATATGATACGGCCTGTTCATGAGAAACAGTGTAAACGTGCAACATCTCTCGCGCCACCACAATGCCATCTTCTAAAAAGATGTATTTGTTTCCCCCTTCTGCGACCCATGCCATTTTAGATGTGATGGTTGCTATAAACTTGTACTCCTTACATTTTGTTTATATATTTCTTAAAAAAATCGAATGCCAGACAACTCTTCTCTTTAACGTTATCAAACTATTACAATCATTGTCCTTTTTAGTTTCATAATTATAATGAAAGCCCAGTACGTCTTACAAATGCTATCATTTTTATTTCTCAAAAACTGTTTTTTGTGTGTCATTTTACAGTTTCCAAAAACATACTCATGTACTGTATACAAGATGTATGTGTCTTTTGTATCTTGAGTTCTGTTGTCAATTGTAAATAAGTATTTTGTATGGAAGTCATTTTACTACTTTGTTTTTAAATTACATTTTGATAGCATTACGACACATAACTGCATATTCAGAGCTGCTTTTTAAGTTGTAAAACATCTAACATCCACAAAATCCATTATTTAAACCATTATTGAACACATGTTTGGCATTTCTAAAGAATGGAAAAAAATATGGATTTCTGAAGCATGTGGCTTTTAACATTGTTCTGCCCGTTCCTTTTTCCTTTCAATGAAAGTTATTCTGACCTTATGAAAGTCAAGCAATGTAAACTCCGTTTTATGCAAATCATAAAATATCTTCCTACAAATATCTTATTTCTTTATTATACCAAGTTATATCTGAAAAACAATATTCTGAATTCTAGTTATTTAAATTGCGTTTTTTAACCAGGAAGTGTCTGTGTTCGTTTTTTACTGCATAAGATGCATTGTCTCAAAGCTGCACGCTCCAGATGAGACAAAATATATCAAGAAAATCAATGTTGAGAAAAATGCACTAAACTTTTAAGAAAGGTTCACACGTTCAAGACCCAAGTTATATTTTGCATGTTTATGTGTGGTTTAACACTGATTTGCAGTATTTTATCACCATATTTCTACTGCGTTACTAACGCAGTAAGGGCTGTTTTTGCATATGTTGACCACTTTTGTTCATTGAACGCCGCCTTTCCTTGTTGATCTTGTTTTTCATATTTTGGGTAATTTCAGTGGATTGTAAGTGCCGATTCCAATAATTTATGCAAATAACTTTGTTCACCTCACATTATTTTACTTTTAAATACATTTCCAAAATTGTTATAAATTAACATGAATCTTGAGGCGTGCTGCTTTAAATAAAGAATCTTTCAATGTGCAAAGTTCAGAGCCATCAGGTTGACAAGGAAAATCAATATCGTTATTTTATAATGTTGAAAAAAAAAACACAATCTTTGAGAAATTGTCAATGAAAATCCTACAGCTCGTTACTTCAGATATAGGCCATTCACTCACGATTTCATTTGATGAGATACTTAATATTATGGAAATTTGTTTTGTTATAGTCTAAGTAATTTTTATCGTGCTATTGCAAGTTCCAGAACAAGGCAAACGAATTTTGCTTAGACAGAAAATATGAAACACTGTGGGACACTAAACACACTGTCAGGGTAAATAAACGAGAGTAAAAGATCGTAACAAATTAATTTATGTCCTTTTGAATTCAAAGGTTTTAATCTTAATTTTAATGACGAATAATTCATTAATTTGCAAGACTACCTTTAAGAACAGAGCATTGAAGTTGAAATCGTATAGTTATGAAAATGAAATCGTGAGTTCATTAAGATGAAATCGTGAATTCATGAAAATACAATCGTGAATTTATGAAAATGAAATCGTGAAGTTGAAACCGTGAAGCTGAAATCGTGAATTCATGAAAATGAAATTAGTGAATTTATGAATAATGAAATCGTGAAGTTGAAATCGTGAAGCTGAAATCGTGAATTCATGAGAATGAAATCGTGAATTCATTAATATGAAATCGTGAAATCATGAAAATGAAATTAATGAAGTTGAAATCGTCAATTCGTGAATTTCATTTGATGAACTAAAGTCGTGAATTCATGAAGTTGAAATCGTGAATTCGTGAATTTTATTTTTTGAAAAACGAGAGTTCTTTACTTGAAAACGTGATGTCATGAAGTTGAAATGGTAAATTCGTGCATGTCATTTGTTGAAAACATGATTTCTTAAATTGAAATCGTGACTTCATGAAGTTGAAATCGTAAATTCGTGAAGTTCATTTGTTAAAAACGTGAATGCTTTAATTGAAATCTTGAATTCATGAAGTTGAAATCGTGAATTCGATATGTTGAAAACATGAATTCACGAAATTTAAATTTGTGAAATCACGAAGATAATTTTCAGGCATTCGTACGAAATAAAACTTTACTGCTAGACTGCTGCAGGGTATTTTTCATTACATGCTACAATTCGAACAAATTCAAATTTAAAATTTAGAAAATGTCAAACACTGTGCATTAAGGGTTATATGACAGTACTCACCAGGAAATAATCACCTCGATAATTAACAGACGGGTGAAAACGTAATGCGACAATGAGCAAAGGCCGCTGGAGTGTACTTATATATCAAACGAATAATTCAATAATGTCGCTTCATAAAATCATTTGGCACGTTATTTAAAATATTTGAAATAATTCAAACAATACGAAGTTTATGGTCAAATTTATATCTATAGGAAATATTTATGATTTTACGTTAATTCGTTTTACTCTGTTGCACATTCCTTTATAATTTTGCATGATTTTCACGTGCGTGTACGGTATATTTGGGGAGATATTTGTATAATAGAATAAAATTGCTAAAATGACAGAAAAAGAAGTTCAGAATAAAAGAGGGCTCTTATTGGAGTAATGCAAGAAATTTTCGACCAGAAGTTTCCAGAATTGTAACAAGATTTGAAAGCAGAAGTAGGGTAGAAAGCTGAAACTTCAAGAAAAAAGGTCAGACTTAACACTTCAATTTCGTTCTCCAGAACTTGAAATAAGTAGCAATTTGTTTTTAACTGTGCAATTTTAGAGCTATTAAACATTTGTGATATAGCTGTTCAAAGGCTAAGCAAGTTTTGAAGGAAGCAAAAGGAAAATGAGAACATAGAAATAAGATTATTGGTGGGTGGGGTAAGATTATTCGTATTGCTGGGTGGGGAACGGTTGTGTAATAATTCTGTTAAATACAACGACCTAAACCTACAATGTTTGTTGTCGATGTTGTCGTTAAGACGTATTTGAGAATAGAAAATAATTGATTTGCTCACAATTGAGTGAGTAATTATCTCTGTAATGCGACAATATTATTCTGTCCTTGTTTTCTCAATGGCAGTTAGAGTGTACTTCAATATTAAATGAAAATTCCACGAAAGTCGCTTCAAAAAATAATTTGGCATGAAATTTGACATAACTTGATATATATTTTCTTTATATGGAATACTCAGACCATTTATTAATAGATAAGATAGGTGTAAAACTG